CAGGAGGCTGAGGCAGGAGAATTGCCTGAACCCAGGAGGCGGAGGCTGCGGTGAGCTGAGATCGCGCCATTGCACTCCAGCCTGGGTAACAAGAGTGAAACTCCGTCTCAAAAAAAAAAAAAAAAGAAAGAAACTCACGTAGTCAAGCAACATGATGCTTCTCGTGCAGGGCGTGTGATGAGGAGGCAAGCTTGGCTTTCCAGTCCTGGGAACCTGAGGAATTGCCGAGGACCTAGAGCCCAGCCCTGACCGCTAGAGAGCCCAAAACGCAATGAACAAATTGAATTTCCGCAACAACAGAGTCATGCAAGACCGCCACAGCGTGTGCATTTTCCTTCCCGAGAATAAATCTCCGAACATCATCATAAATGTTAAGATTCTGTGTCACCGAGGTGGGTGGATCACCTGAGGTCAGGAGTTCAAGACCAGCCTGGCCATCATGGTGAAACCCTATCTTATAAAAAAAAAAAAAAAAAAAAAAGATTCTGTGTCACCAGTTGCTGGTCCAGCTTTGTGACCTGCTCCGGCTAAAGGACTGCCACCTCTTTGGACTTAGTTTTATACAAAATAATGAACATGTTTATATGGAATTGTCACAAAAGCTTTGCAAATATTGTCCAAAGCCGGGCGCGGTGGCTCACGCCTGTAATCCTAGCACTTTGGGAGGCTGAGGCGGGCGGATCACCGGAGGTCAGGAGTTCAAGACCAGCCTGAATAATATGGTGAAACCCCGTCTTTAAAATAGAAAAAATAATAAATAAATAAATATTGTCCAAAAGAATAGAAGAAAGAGGCCAGCAAGGGTATCGACCAATTTGGGCCTCCTATGATAATCCACTTCCATGTGCAGTACTATGTGGAAAATGACAGACTGATCGGTGACAGAGCAGCAAGATACTATTATTACCGGCACCTGAGAGAACAGGTTCTTCATTCTTAGTGTGTGCTCCGAGAGGAGGCCTACTTCCTCCTACTGGCAGCCTTTGCTCTGCAGGCTGATCTTGGGAACTTCAAAATGAATCAGCACTGTGGAAAATACTTCGAGCCAGAGGCTTACTTCCCATCTTGGGTTGTGTCCGAGAGGGGGAAGGACTACAGCCTGAAGCACGTTCTAAACATGCACAAGGATCAGTTTGCACTGACAGCTTCCGAAGCTCATCTTAAATATATCAAAGAGGCTGTCCGACTGGATGACACGCTATTCATTACTACAGATTGTATAAGGATAAAAGGAAAACTGAAGCATCGCTGACTTTTGGATCAACCATGCGAGGAATACAGATTTTTCAGAATTTAGATGAAGAGAAACAATTACTTTATGATTTCCCCTGGACAAATGTTGGAAAGTTGGTGTTTGTGGGTAAGAAATTTGAGATTTTGCCAGATGGCTTGCCTTCAACCCGGAAGCTCATCTACTACACAGGGTGGCCCATGAGCTCCAGACACCTCCTGCAACTTCTGAGCAACATGAATCTGCAGCCTGTCCTGCACCGTATCCGGGAGCTGGAGGAAAACAAAGAGAAGAAGCAGTACCGGAAATCTTACGTTAGTGACAACCTGGACCTCGACATGGACCAGCTGGAAAAGCCATCTCGGGCCAGCAGGAGCAGGGCAGGCAGCATGAAGCACAAGCGCCTGTCGTCATTCCACCGCCAGCCACAGCAGTTCCCACACCTTGGGCATTGAGGCAGACACCAGGCCCCGGGACATGGGGCCAGAAGGCAGCTGCCCCAGCAGTGCCATCCACCGCAAGCTGAAAACCGGCAGCTCCCTGACCAGCCATGGTAGCTCCCACACCTCAGGGGTGGAGAGCGGCGGCAAAGACCTACTAGAAAAGGACTTGCAGGACGATGAAATAGAGATGTTGGTTGATGACCCCTGGGACCTGGAGCAGAGGAATGAAGAGTCTCTGGAAGTTAGCCCAGGCATGTGCATCTACATCGCAGAGGACATGCTCATGTCGCAGAAGCTGAACGGACACTCCGGGTTGATTATGAAAGAAATTGGTTCTTCCACCTCGAGCTCTTCAGAAACAGTTGTTAAGCTTCATGGCCAGAGTACTGATTCTGTTCCACAGACTGTATGTCGGAAACCAAAGACCTCCACAGATCGACACAGCTTGAGCCTTAATGACATCAGACTTTACCAGAAAGACTTCCTGCGCATTGCAGGTCTGTGTCAGGACACTGCTCAGAGTTACACCTTTGGATGTGGCCTCTATTGCAACAGTTACTTGGCTCAGCAGTGCATCAACATCCAAGATGCTTTTCCAATAAAAAGAACCAGCAAATACTTTTCTCTGGATCTCACTCATGATGAAGTTCCAGGGTCTGTTGTATAAAGTCCATCTGTGTGCAGCTGTACAGGCAGCTTACTGTTTGCTAGAGGATGTGAAAATCATGGGTTCTTTACATATTACTTGTGCCATGTCTTCTTCGCCCTAAGCATAGCTCTTTCTTTATGATATTTGTGATGATGGAAACAAAAGCCTTGAAACAATTGTACTTTAAGTATTACACAGAAGTAGAGGAGCTACAGAAAATATACAGCAAGAGAAGTGCCCAGAAGCCCATTGCTCCTTTGGAAGGAAGTGCACTTTACTGATTGCAATGCCTTCGGAATATTGGAGTGTGGTGTGTTTGCTCATCTGATGCTTTTTAGTTCAGCTACATGTAAATCACATTTTTTATCACGTGAAAGATGTTAGGTTTATTTGCTTGCTTGTAAATTTTTTACCACTCCCTCATAAAACACTCATGGTTTGGGAGAGGAAAGAGGGAAGATTCTCTCTTCTTTTAACAGAGAGACGGTTGCTCTGTACAGCCATTGCTTCCTCCCTGAGGCTGTCCCAAAGTGAACACTGATGAAGTGGTCAAAATCATGAGGTTGTAGCAAGCCAAAGATACGTACATGATGGAAGCACCTGTGCAGAGACAAGACATGAATTAAGCAATAACCAGAAAACCGGAAGTGCATATGCTGTGATGCCTGTGACTCCTCCACCCCGCTCAGTGCCATGTCCTCTTCTGTGATCTTCGAGAAGGCTCCAGGATTCAGTTGAGTTCCTCATCCAAGTAACAAGAATTATGTTCATGTCGTAATGCATTTTGTGGAGTTTACAAAACCCGTGTCTGTTAAAACCACGGAAAATGTCTTAGAAAACATTGGTGCTTGGTGATGCTTTGTTTAATTATCAAGAAAAAATCATGGCAATGCTACTTTCTGCTTAACCAAAATATTCCATGTATATATTATACATATATAAATACATGGGATTGTGTATATTTATATGTGTTTAAAGCTTACTATGTCTTCATTTTGGCTTCCATGACTATCTTTTATATGTGGAATTACTTAAGATTGAGAATATGTCACTGAATGAATGATACCTGCAGACAATCAGTTGATATACATAGAGTTAAAAATGACGGTTTCCTCTTGTGCCTTTGGCCATGATTCTCAACACTGATTGTATAATAGAATTTGGTGTGGGGAGCTTTTAAAAAATAATGACTGAGTCTCCCACCAGTCTGATTACATCATTCTCTTGTGGTGGGACCCAGGTAGAATTGCCTTTTTTTTTTTAAGTTCTCCAGATGGAGCTAATATGCAACAGAGTTGAAAACCACTGATCCCGGGTGTGTCTTTTGTTAATTTTGAAGTAAAGGTGTACAGAAGATGTAGTGTATGAGAAAGGGCCATTTTTAAGACAGTTACCTGCTATGCTGCTGTAACAATACGTAAGGAACCAAGTCAGGGGAGTGAATTTATCAATCTTTTGATGTACAGTAAAAATGTTGCTCATACTTCAGGAGAGAACTTCATAGCACAATGTCTTTCTGTAAGATATTTTTAATGATTTAGTACTTTACAACATTTGTTTACCATATTTTGATAGACCACTTTTTTCTATCTGCCAGGTTTTATTTTTTAAAACTATATATTATTTTCTAAAGAAACAATCATATTTTTATACAAAGTTACATTTTCAGGTAACAAAGAAGTAGATTTAGGGTACAGCGGAACATAAGCAGTGTTACCCGTGGCTAGGAGTCAGTATGACACAACCAATGGTGAGCAGGAGCCTGCCTGCCTGTGCTGCCCGCCCTCCTGTGCTGGGTCCCAGAGGTGTATGCAAAATCTCCTCGTCACATTAGGTTCACCTGACACTTTAAAAGGAAAAAAAGTTGTATCAAGTTCTGTGGTCACAAAACTATTTTGCTTTTATCAAATGCTTTAATAGAACCAAAGTTGCAGATATTGAAGTGTATGGAAGTATCTCAGTCTGCATAAAAGGATTAAAGTATGAAAGGATCATTTAATGACTATTTTACTTAGAAGTCATTCAGTAATCCACCATTTCTTATGGATGATGCTTAAGCCTGATGAGAATTGTACTCTAAGGAGCCCAGATCATAATGCAGTGCATTTCCTTAGCCCTTAGAGTTTCTTGCAAACCTTAAAAAAAAAAAAAAAAA